CAATGCTTTCAACCATTTAAAAACGTCCAAAGTGCAGAACATTTTAAATGTTATCAGTTCACACAGAAGATTTTTCTCCAATGGTTAGTTTGAAGGTGAGCTAGAATCGTTTTCAGGTACTACGAGCCTACTAAACAGATGAAAAGCAAGCCTGACAGTTTTCAACATGTTAGCACCTTACACTTCTGCAAATTTTACACTTATGTATCTTTAGCAACTGAAAAAAAAAATTACTCCTGGGTTTTACAGCACAACAGCAATTCAGATTAATTTCTGAAGATGTGGGACACATACCTGATCAGTCCACATAATCTATCTTTCAAAGAGTTTTTTAACAGTCAAATAGGCTATTTATCAAAAACTGCAGTCAACAACTTAGGTATTACAAATAATGTAAGATTTACTGAAACATGAAGAATATTGGCTTCCATCAGAACATTTGGCTAATCATTCCTCTAAAACCTTATTGCAACATTTGATACTTCATGTCTTGCAGGTTTCTCCAGCAGCTCCCATCAAAAAAAGTCTTCCATTTTTTCTGAAGGGATATTGATAGAAGTTAATTGCAAAAGAAAACTTGTTGCAAGACAGATGACTAAAAGCAACGGAGAAGATCCAAAAGCTGGGAGTAGGATGGAACGCATTCAACAAGGAGTCCGGAAACGTACACTTTTGGCAAAAAAAAAAGTGCAGAGCATAACAAAGGATGATGTTAAAAGTTATTTATTGAGGAATGCCTTTGTGCTTTTCACCGTTGTTGCTGTGATTCTTGGTGAGTAATTTGTTCCATAGGAATATTCTGTTCTCCAGTGCATTTGACAATCATGATTTCCCTGGTCGATTTGCATTACAAATGAGATCCCAAATTCTTCTGCACTGATAAGAATGTTCTGAATTGGAGAGTCCTGGCTTTGACAGCTGTATGTTGAAGTTTAAGGAAGAGCCATTTAAATTATTCCAGACTTCCTAAGGAGAATTTAGGTGAAAAAAAAAGATTAGTTGTTTGGTGTGTTCTTCTCTTAAATAGTAATTGAACTGAATATTTCCAATGAAAACTTAGTCTAGCAGCTGCAGCAGAAAACTAAAACTGTAACTTTTATCTACCTAGTCTATAAAAAAAACCCACTTTGCAATGGCAAGCGGAAGTCCTCAATGATTGAAACAAAGGGACATTTCCAAGCAAAGGTATATGTTAGAGCCTCAGTCCTTTCTGTCTTCCCTTGATAAGTGCAAAACAATCCAGCCTAAGTACAAGCTTATGCTTTCTCAGTCACCCACAATCTTAACCGTGCATCGTTCAGATGCAATCAGGGCAGCAATGGCCAAAGGACTGTAAGATAGCACCTGATTAAGTGCATTCTTAGAGTATATGAAGGGGAATCCAGAACATCAAACAGAATCTAGATTTGGAATGCACTAAAATGTAAATTTAAAAAATTGCCACACATTCTGAATTTACATCAGAAAGAGATTCCTACATTTTATTTATTTATTTATTTATTTATGCATTTCTTTATTTATTTATTCATTTTTAATTCCTTTCTGTAGTTACATTGCCACTTTTGGTAATTTTTCTTTACCTACACATTTTATCAATAAACCATACGTTTAATGAAATTACATTTTTATAGTGTGGGAAAGAATATTACAGCTTTTTACTGTACTACTTTAATTTATATTTTTTAATTAGTTTAAAATATAAAACTACAAATCTGTTAAGGAAAGCCCAGATGTTACCACTTAAGGGTGTGTATCCTACACCTGTGCAGCCCCAAATGTCCTTAATAATGCTGTTCTGTAGAAATCCGCTTGCTATGTTTTTACAACTTAAATAGAAATTAAGATTTTAGGACATTACCATTATAGTGGCTTGATACTGCATTTGCACAGTAATTTTAAATTAATTTCAGGTTTGGGGGTCTTCTTCTGGGAGACAATTTTATTAGTTTGCATATTGGCAAATCAAGTACTTTGTTGCTATAACAGAAATTTCAGTCTCTCACATATATCAATATGGGATCATGAGAGCCTTTAATTTGTAAATAAGAATTTGTTCAATGCAAAGCCCCCATTAATATCAGGGGTGAACGTTTAGGCATTTTATCTACAATGGTCAAGAAAGGCAGAATAAATTAAGCAGATTTGAAACACTGTCCAACCTCAAAGGAATGCAACTCTTAGATTGTCACCTGTCTATAAGGTACGAGAACAATGTGCTCCAGCAATTTTTTCACTGTTATCTAGCTCCAGTGTGACTCCCATAAATTTGACACTGTGGGAACAGAAATGTGGGCTGGACAAGTGTTTTTACTACTATTGCATGTTCCAGTTAGCTTTAGATCACTAGTGACAAGTCTGCCCACAGCTCCACTACCACCTGCAACACCAGCAGGGTGCCAGTAAGGCTGGAACCTAAGTTGAAGAACTATTAAAGATGTGCATCCCAGGGTGAGCCTGCTGCTTCAATTCTGCTCCTGAATCTACAGATGTATCTGGTGTAATATGTGGGAAAACCACTTTTTATTACTGTGATGGAATGTTCCAAACTTTTCCTCACATTTTTTATTTGTAGTGTAATTTTACAGTATATATATATATATATATGTATGTGTATATATATATGATTAGAACAGTAAGGTCACACTTGGTAGGTCATAAAAATCTAAGATTGGGTTTTTTGGAGAGCTTTTTTTTTTTTTTTTGCTGTCATGGAAATATTCAGCAGTAGGGAACAGTTGGCTACAGATTTTGGAAAACAGTGGTTGAACTCCATCTGTCTAGTTTGGCAAGGTCTAAATTGTTATAATCTCTTGGTTGTTTGGTTATCTGTGGAAAATCAGGTGGTGGGCTTGATCCCTTTCCCAGCAAACAGTAACCAACGTTGCAAAATTAACACGCCAGTCAGCACCGCTGGCTGTCTCATCAGAGATGCTCGTATGTGAGTGTAGGTGGAAACCTACTTCATTCACAAGAAATTACTCTTAATACTCTGTAATCTGAACTGAGAGATTACATCATTTTTTAGGGTTGTCAGTCTAGCAATTTTCATAAAGACAAAACTCAGGAAAAGTAAGGAGAGCAACAACGCTTCAGAAACATTTATTTCAGGCCTCTTTTGTCAAGGGACTGATATGAAAAAGCCTATTTAATAGAGCATTTCTTATGTCTTTGCTGAGCAGAAGTTATGGTGGTGTAGGGTAAAGTGGATAGGATCATACATCTTAGCCCAGTGTCAGGACTGTAGTTTTTAACAAGCACTTGAGTTTGTGTCTGTGGAAACATGCACTTTGTTATTAAGTGAGTATCTGCAACATGCATTTTTCTTGCATACTGATATTTTGCAGGCAGATTAGAGATTTTTATGGCATTCACATGATAAGGAGAAATACCGCCATTTACTGTAAGTTCTGCCATTACTCTGATTCTTAATTGAATTCTAAACTGAATTCACTAGCTGCTGCAATACCAAACCAATTAATCTTCAAATACCTAAAGATAAAGATGCAAGAAGTCATAATTCATGTGGAGAAGTCCTTAGTCCTGTTCCCCATTTCCCAAAAACCTCAAGAAAGGTCCTGCTGACTTCGCATTCTGCACAGGTAGAGTCTGTCCTGCCCATTGTCGTTACCACCGCCATCGTTGTTTTGAGTGAAATTAAACTGCTTTCAAGGTCTTTGAGAAACTGATAACAGTATGGCCAATAAGTGAGTGATGATACAGTTTTTCAGATTATTCCAGTATACCTAGAAATATTACATTAGTTTTCTGCAGTGCATCTTGGGAAGAGAACAGTAGTGTGAGGTGAATTTGGGAAGATGACCACTGGTGAATTCAGAGTGTCACAAGTTCAGGTAGGGTAGGGGTCATGATGGCTCATAGAAAATCTGCAGGAAGCTTTACAAACTTTGAAGTGCTATCCAAATTACTGGCAAAATCTCAGGCAGTGCCCTCTCTCCCACGCTACTTAGCTCCATCATCCTGTCCCCAAAATGCCTTCCTTTCAGATACTCTTCCTTCATCAGACTGTCTTGATTCTCTCCTACTTACCTCCCATTTCCCAAAAATGCCACAAGAGTCCAGACTTTACTCTGGCAGGACTCCTAAATGCCAAAGAATCTCCTGTGGATTCTGAACGTGTACTGAAGGAAAGATCAAGACACACAGAGCTGCCGAGCAGAGATCCTGAGAAGGTTTTTCACAGAGAAATACTGTTTTAACTGAGGGGCTCAGAGACGAGGAGGGAGGTTATGGAGCAAGTACTATTAAAAGCTATTTCTGTGTAGTTACGAAGTTATTATAGCTCCAACTTGTTAACTAAAATCCCCTTTACACTGACAAAGTTATATGCTGCAGTTGCCCACTGAGACAGAGATGGATTAGCTTCTGTTTTCTGGCCACTTGTCCACCAAAGTGAATGCAGAACTGACTGTGTCATTTAATGTAGTTTTCTGTAGTTGTGAGCAATTGCATAGTAGATGTGAAATCTAGGTAGGCCCTTGCAATATCTGTTCTACAAGAGCATGCACCCTATGTAAGACTCCAAAACTTTACAATATCTTTGTAAAAAACTAGTTAAAAGTACAGGAAGAAGATAGGAGAGATTAAGGCATTGCCAGTGTCCCTGAAAAAAAAAAAAGAAAAGCGTTACAGAAAGCCTGCAGGTGATCCTTTGTAGTGTCAAAGGCACAAAACCCCACAAACCCTCTAAAATATCTGAACAATGAAATGCTGTGCAGAGTAGCAGATTCACCTATCTCAACAGGCTCCTGCGCTGAACTGTGGTTAAAATCAGTCTGAAGAGGTAAAAGTCTCTAATTCCCAGGTAGACAGAATCCTGGGTAACTCCCACAAAAAAAAAGATGGTCCCTTGTGTGCTGAAGAGACATCTCTTCTGCTCCTGGCAGGTCCTCTGTGTCCAGTGAAGACTGAGGCTGACCTGCTCAGAGAAGGGTATTTGACCCCATCACACACTGACAATGAACACGATGTCAGTGCCTAAGGCAACCTTTGTGAAATTTGCATTAAAACAAAGCAAAGTTCCATCACCAGAGAAAGACTAGCTGTGGGAGGCCAGTCCTAGGTGAGGGAATGTGTCAAAACATAGAGGGAAAAATGTGATACCATGCAAAAGATTAAGATATATACAAGCAAATCAAGACAGTTTGGGGATGGCTATGGATAATTTAATTCTGTTGATGCTGAACTTAGAGGCTTCCTCTGTCCCAGAGGTCTCCTAAAGAACCTGCCCAGCCTAATTGCTTTCTCGACAAGTGACCAAACCTTCCTAAGTAATATTCTGGAAAAAATCCTAAGCTAAAACTGAATTCTTTTTGAAGAAATAGTTATTATTTTGGGAAAAAAATATATGTAAAGAGACACTGTAAGATTCAGAGTAACACTTAAAAATTCAAAATAAATTATTATTTTCAAAAAGGAAAAGTCTAGAAAAACAAAGAACATTAATTCTGCTATTAAATAGCTAGTAATAAAAGTCAGTCTGTGAAATATGAATAGAATGCTAGTTTAGCAGTTACTTGCAAAATAAATTATGTGAATTTATTGTCACATTCTTAATTTCTTGTCATACACTCTGTTGTTACTGAAGTGAAGCAGCAGTGGTTGTTGGACATGGCACAGAGTAGCAACAGCAAACCTGGCTACTCTGTGAATCACAGTTGTGCCTTCTGGACACAGCAGCTGTGCATACAAGCACAGTAAAGATGCAAAGTATGCTAACTGTAGCCTTAGTACCTTCTTATTTGCTCTAAATTG